AATAATAATAATAATAATAATAATAATAATAATAATAATAATAATAATAATAATAATAATAATAATAATAATAATAATAATAATAATAATAATAATAATAATAATAATAATAATAATAATAATAATAATAATAATAATAATAATAATAATAATAATAATAATAATAATAATAATAATAATAATAATAGTAATAGTAATAATAAATTTTTTTGTAAATTTTATTATTTAACTAATTCGAGATAGGTATTAAAAATATTTATATGTAAAGTACGTCCTGAAAAAATGATATTTTATTAAAAGTAATAATTTACGCAGAAAATAACTTTAATTGTAAATTTGAGTTCATGGGTTCAAAATAAGTAATTACTCCATATCATTTTTTGAAAAAAGAGTAAAAAATGTAAAATAATGAAAGAGAGTAAATTTGGTTAAATTCCCACCAAATATGCCACATGTCTAAAATCCTAACGCGCCACATGTCAACATTTGAATATGCCAAATGTCATGTTTTTAGAGCTTCGAGTCTCATTTATATATATCTCATTTACTCATTTATTTATATATATTTCAATTTATGATCATTTTTATTTCATTTTATGTTTTTTGAATTTATAGATATATTTTACGTGAGATTAAATGAGCCCGTGCGAAGCAGGGGTAAATAACTATAACTAGTATGTATGTGTGTGTGTGTGTGTGTGTGTGTGTGTGTGTGTATATATATATATATAGTAAGTTTTTAAATAAAATAGAGTTAAAAAAATATTAATTGGGTTGTTAACTATTCATTCTGTTCATGTAGGAAAATGAAGGGGAATTGCCAGATGAGATTGAAGAACTTGTGGAGAGGAAAATGATGTTTGAAATTGAAGTTTCAAAATCTCAGGGTGCACTATATGAAGACAGTTTTAGTGTGTCCAAAGTTTCTACTCATCCTGCATTCATTGATAAGCACTCCAATAACACCCCATCTACCCAAGAATCAGTATCCCAACCAAATAATAAAATGGCAGACATTGGAGGGGCAGGGATAGCTGAACATCTACAAGACAAGGTTTAACTAAGTCAAATTTTTTAGTTAATCACTTTTTTCCCAGATTTTCTAGAAATCTAAAAAGGATTATTTGATTGTGCAGGGTGAAACAAGCATTCAAGGAGACCAAATTTCAATTGTTGATAGGCAGGAAGTATTGGGGTGGGATGACAGAAACAAGTTAAAGAGGGACCTCCTGAATGATTTTGAAAGTTCTGACTAAGAAAATTTGAAAAGGCTCAAAAAAAACAATCAAAGTTGAAAAGGATTGAAAGCCATTGTTGGAAAGTTGTTTGGGGCAATGTTCTCATTTTAATCCATTTTCATATTTCCATTTACCATGAGTGTATGAAATAAGTGCTCATGCATAGTGTGTTTTGCTTTTTTCAATATTGAATGTCATTTCCTTTGTTTCCAACACCTTTTTAAACACCTATCCAGCTCTTACTTGAAACAATAAGTATTAATAACTATGAACACTACATAAGTGTTAATAATAAAATAGCAGCACTAGTTTTCAGTCTTTAGGAAAAATGTACTTGAAAAATCAGCATTATACAGACAGGCAGCACCATACTTGAAGAGGTTTGACTTCCTTTCAAAATAAATGAGGAAAGATTTGTTTAAAAACTTTGAAATTTCAAACATTCCCTGACTTTTGGTTTCAGATATAAAATGTGCAAACTTAAAATGTTATTTTATAATCAATGTCCTGGCGGAGACAATAAGTGTAACAATTGAATGAACAATTTTAAAAATTTTTTAGGCTTGCAGTAATTTGGTCCAAAAGCTAATTGTGTGGACAAAACTGGTCAAGTGTTGCCACCCTTCTGACTTGAGATGAAAAGATTTCAAGAATAGTAACCTACTAATTTTAAAAGTTCATAATCAAATTTGCAAACATAATGTGGAACTTCATAATTAAAGTCCTGACAGAAAAACATAAGTGGATTATTTTGGAAATAGGTAACGGGGTAGAAAAAATGGCAAGGAACTGACCCCATTCTGACCTAATATCAAATGCTCAGGGGAAATGAATCTGCAATTTTAAAGAGTTTCTAAAAACCTCCTCATTTAACAACTCCACAATAAACCATCAAAATCTGAAATCATTCAAATGTGCAAAGTTAAAAAAGGTAGTTCACACTCAAAGTCCTAACCAAATCACCGAGTTTAAAATTTTTTAAAGTACTTTAAAAGCATATTAGAACTGCAGTCATTTAAGGTTTAAATGTTTTAAAGTAAATGCCTCATTTTAAATATCCACAATAAAACCATCAAAAAATGAAGTCCCTTAATGTATCAACTTCTCAGGGTCACATGACAAAAAAATGTTTTGGACTTTTTGATTTGTATGGCTTAAACATGAATAACTCCTTGACACAAACTTCTAAGTATATTTAAATAATTACCAGTGGTGGACAGGCCTTTCTGTATGTTTATTTCAATATGCCTTGAATTCTAACCTATTTGACTAGTCAATAATGGCTGCACCCAGCTGGAAAGTGGCTGGAAACCAACTGGAAAGTGGCTCTAAACTGGCTGGAAAGTGGCTGTAAACTGGCTGGAAAGTAGCTGGAAGGAGGCCTAGACAATTGTGCAAGTGGGTTGCTAGTTGGTGAGGTGGGCCAGCTGTATGACAGCAGTATTCTGGGCTGTCAACAGCTTAGATCCCACTGGATTTAGGCAGCCAAGTTGGCTGCCATCTTTCCTATAAATAGGTTCATTTGTAAGGCATTCAAATAGAGAGATCAATCACCTAGAATACCCCTCTGTAATCTCTCTCCTCAATCAGTAAAAGCTCTCCTCTCTTCTGTTAGGTGGACGTAGCCAACATATTGTTGGTGAACCACGTTAAATCTGTGTGTGTTTGTTCTTTCGTTTCTTTATTGTTTGTTATCTTTCTTACATCCGTCATAACAAACTGGTATCAGAGCTCGGGTAATCCAGGTTTGTAATCTGGTGAGAAAGATGTCTGCTTTAAACATAAAGATCGAAAAATTCACGGGGAGGAACAGTTTTAGTCTATGGCAAATCAAGATGCGAGCCTTGTTGAAACAACAAGGCTTATGGACACCATTATCAAAGGAAGCCAGGTCGAACGATGCTGAGTTAGCTGCTTTGGAGGAGAAGGCACATTCGATTATCATGTTGTGTCTTGCAGATGATGTCATCACTGAGGTCGCAGATGAAGAAACTGCCGCTGGTCTATGGTTGAAGTTGGAAAGTCTATACATGACAAAGTCTTTAACCAACAAGTTGCTTCTGAAGCAACGTCTGTTCGGTCTCCGAATGCAGGAAGGTACCCCTCTTAGAGACCATCTGGATCAATTAAATACAATTCTTTTGGAGTTGCGTAATATTGATGTTAAGGTAGAGGATGAAGATGCTGCCTTAATTTTGTTGGTTTCACTACCATTGTCGTATGAGAATTTCGTACAATCTTTCAT